ACATTGGTCTCCAGAATCTGCTGATATTGGTTGAATCCATGCGTCCCTCAACTTTAACAAGATTCCCAGTCCCTGTACTGGTCCCACAGCCCCACAGCATGATGGAACCAGTCCCACATTTTACAGTAGGTAGCAGGTGTTTTACTTGGAGTGCTGTATTTTTTTCCTTGATGCATAACAGCCCTTGTTCTGCCCAAATAACTCTATTTTAGTTTCATCAGTCCACAGCRCCTKWTTCCAAAATGAAGCTGGCTTGTCCAAATGTGCTTTAGCAAACCTCAAGCAGCTCTGTTTGTGATGTGGGCGGAGAAAAGGCTTCCTCTGCATCACTCTCCCATACAGCATCTTGTGTAAAGTGTGCTGAATAGTTGAACGATGCACAGTGACTCCATCAGCAGCAAGATGATGTTGTAGGTCTTTGGTGCTGGTCTGTGGGTCGACTCTGACTCTTCTCAACATCCTTCACTTCTGTTTATTGGATATTGGAGATTTGTCTTGGTCTGCCACTTCCAGCCTTGACTTGAACTGTACCTGTGGTCCTCCATTTTCTCACAATGTTTCTCACAGTGGAGACTGAAAGCTGAAATCTCTCAGATAGCTTTCTGTTTCCTTCCCCTAAACCATGACGGTGAACAATCTTAGTTTTCAGCTCATTTGAAAGTTGTTTTCAGACTCCCATGCTGCCACTCTTCAGAGAAGATGCAAAGAGGAGAAAAACTTACTATTGCCCCCCATAAATACCCTTTCTCATAATTGGAGTCACCTGTGTATGGAGGTCAAGGGTCACTGAACTTAACAAACCAAATTTGAGTTCCAATAATTAGTCCTAAAGGTTTTAAAATCAGTAAAATGAAAACAGTGCCCAAATTAATGCACCTGCCTAATTTTGTTTAAACAACTATTGCACACTTTCTGTAAATGATAAACTTCCTTTCACTTCTCTAATATCAGTGTGTTTGTCCGCTATATGATATATTTAATAATATATCAATATATTTCAATATAGCCTACTTATTAAATTACATTTTTACTGAGATATTTTTGGACAACCAAAATGTTTTATAACAAGATAACAAAAAAGGATTGGGAAGAAGCAAAATCAGTTTTTACTTCTTCCTATGAGCAATATCAATAGAAAATATGTCAGAATGTTAATTTCACTGATAACAGAACCACAAGGCATCTTGGGAGATGTAGGCAGAGGAAAGACTTTAGCCGCTAGACCAGGGCTATTCAACTAAATTGCTCCGGGGGGCACAGTTACTGCTGGTTAACAGCTGAGGGGCCGAACATCCAGCAATTAGTTATTATGTAAATAAACCAAGTATTACAAAGATCTATTACCTGTGAATTAGTTTATTTTGCTGCATTTAATCATTAATACAACATACAGAACCCTATAAAAGTGGTAATAATTAATCATCAAAAACAAAAAAACACATTATGCCTCCTATTTGACACAAATATTTTAACATCTCTGACTTGCCAAATTTTTAAACCAATTTTATTTTCACTTTCATCACTTTATCTTCAACTGCTTGTCATTTTAACTGTCTTGAGCGTTTATAGAAATGGTTTTTACCAGCTTCTAGCCAAGATTCTGACGTTTCTGTAGATACCAATCATGTCTATGTTTAACTAAAGGAATTTAGAGTAATTAAAGTAGAAAACCAGGGGTTTGGGCTTAAGAGATGAATGAACTGGTGGGCCGAACTTTGGTCACTCATGGCTCGGTTGTAGCCCGCGGGCCGCCAGTTGAATAGCCATGCGCTAGACCTCGTGGCCCAGCTAAGCAAGGTTTGTGGCGTCATTTCATTGGTAAGCTAGCAACAACCTGTTGAGTAACAGGCTCAGTAGCAGTTTCACGTTTCAGCACGGTGCTTCATGTCTGTTTGAAAATAAAGAATGATGTGGAGTGAAAAAAAGTGTAACAACTTGAGAGGAAACTGGAAAGAGGAAAGGACATGCCACCAGTTTGGTAGGATTAGCCTTTTCCTCCCGGTCCATATTTCAAATAAGTAAAACAAAAAAACTAATCAATAATTATTTATCGTCTGATATGAAACGATTATACAGTATTGTGATACTTTTCTGCCGTATCATCCAGCCGTACTTCAGAGTATAACACATATAGTGCACATGTTTGTTGGATATCTCAGACATTTGTGACTCGTCTCCTCTCACCACAGCTGGGCTCGTGGCTTGGCTTCACTCTGATGACCCAGTGTCTGCCGGTGGCCTTCTTCACCCTGGTGGGCTTCATCCAGATGACTGTTTGGGCCAAAGGGAAGCACCGCAGCTACCTGAAGGAGTTCCGCGACTACCCCCCTCTCCGCTCACCYATCCTGCCGTTCGTTCTGTAAAAGACGGGTTGGCCCTTAAACCAACCCAAACTAACTGCGAGGAGGTTTCTTCAGCTTCTCTAAAACTGGCACTGGAATCTTATTAGACTAGAATTTTAGCCTGTTTGCCTTTCGCCTTCCTTCCCGCTTTGCTTTGTGTTTGAGTGATAATGTAAAAACACTAGATCAGCTCTAGTTTTTCTTTTTTTTAATTGCAGATGAATCTGTTCTGACTGGTTAAATTATTTCTTTTCGTGGGTCTTCAACCTGAAACTGAATTYTGTGCTCCTCTTTCATCACTTTGTACTGTTTTCAGTATTGAGCCTGGTATGAAGTAAATTCCAACTCTAGGTAAATGCTCGTGAATCTAAAGTCTGAACCTAACACAACTGAACTTTGTTATTGTCTGAGGTAATTTATTAAACAAAAATAAACCAAGCATTTTTYCCCTTGCCTTTAAATTCCTAATGAGCCTGTTTTACATTCAGAACATCAACAGTTTTGAAGGATTTTTTGTTTTGATGAATTACAATCAAACATATTGTATTTATCTAATTAACTTTCTGKTGATGTTTCCAGAGCATTATTGGTAATTCTTACACTGAGAAAATGTAGAGTTTAAACAATATTGTTTATTGTTATTAACCAGTATATACAAAGAAGCACATTCAGAAAATGCTCTCATCATGCAGCTTCTGCTTTGGCTTCAATTCTCTTCTTCCTCATCCGGAGTCTCYTCTCCCTCTCATACTCCTTCATGCGCATCACATAGCTGAGGGCAGAGRAACACAAAGAAACAATGACACAACTGCTCCGATTAAAGTTGGATTGTTTAACAGTCGTTACTTATTGAAAAGCAAAATTACAGAAACACCTTTTAGGAAAAATGTGAACGAAAAACAAAACGAGGTTTGTGCAGATTCAGACCCACKGGCCAATCAGCTTCCAGGAATCACCTGAGTGTGCAGGAAACCCAGAGCCAATCACTGAAGAGGGGTTGTCAGTGGTTTAGATTAGAAACCAAAACATACCCACTTTATTCAGTAGTTGAAGGGGCGTTATGTAAAATCAACATTTTTGAGTTTTACATCATGTTATAATGTTATACTCTCAAAGAACATGACCAAAGCCTTGCTTTCTGAGGGCATCACTCATTCCTGCAGCGTTTTTATGAAGCCATGCTGAGGAGCAAAACGACAGGTGGGGACCAGAAACGCCTCTGGGACGTGTCTTTAAGCTGAACTTCATCACGGAGCACACCTCCCCACCCCGCCCATGACTCCTGCAGGCTCTCAGCAGTAATAGAGCAAAGTGAAACTTAAATTGTCTGCTGCTCTTAACACTACTTCTCACTCTTTTCAGATTAAAAATACCTTTGAGGAAATGTTTTTTTCATTTGCCAAGTAAACAGCATCATAGGTGAGTTTACTACTTTCTTTTACTACTTCTGTGATAGAACTACTAATTCTACTTCCTGTTCTCTTCTTCTTTGTCGTCTTTTTCGCCAGTAGAAACAGCCGGTTGTTGATCACGTGACTCCCGTGATGCGAAAAAAGTGTTTCCATTGCAGTTCTGCGAAAAACACCAATTTCGATACGGCAGAAAGACCACCTCATCCTAGCGCAAAAACATTTGGTCGAAAAACATATTTTTTTCCCCGAAACTGACGTGTTTCCATTGAGCAAATTTATTTTCGAAATTCTAATTCGCGCATTTTCATGGTGAATGGAAATGCAGTTATAGATGTTTATTATGGTATAGTATTTAAATATGCCTGAGAAACACATAATATTGCCCCTTTAAAATGAAATGTCCTTACTTGTAATAAGTCATATTACTCTTTTTGTCCACAAATATAAATTGTTCTTTTGCATCCATTTTTTTTTTTGTTGGTGCAGAAGTGTTTACAGAGGACAGTGTTGAGGCTGAGGCAGTGAGGAAGTACAAACATCTACAAAACATGTCTATAAAGAAGTGCAAATAGCTAATAATTTAGGAAGCACTGCACAGAGGAGAGCATATGAAAAAAAAAAAAAACATGCTTTTGCAACAAATTTGCAAAGGCCATCGACAAGAGACCAACGAGTGGTGACAGGGAGGCAACCCTGCAGTGGGAGGGGTTCTGTGAGGACTTCCCAGGAGTTCTGCACTTGAATTTCTGCAGAACTATGAAATGTCCGGACGGACCAAAACAAACATTGAGCCTCATGCAAGAACATTTTCATATTTTTGTCCAAAATTTCTTTTTTTTTTTTTTTTTTTTTTTGAACAGGCCACGTCAGATTTAACAAACACTTCTATCTTCAGGAAAAGTGTGTAAATGAGCTGCGTAACATGATGAATGTGTATCAGGTGCTCGTGCACGAGGAGAGGAGATTAGCATAATTACCACCCCAAAAACACCATATAAGGGTACACTTCCTGCCCCAGATACCAGGAAGTGTTCGTTCATAAAAATACAGCGAAAATAAGAAAAACAACTTCACGATTTCAGAGACTGAAGTCCTGCTGTCAGAGATCCAGAAAAAAATAATCTGTCATTTTTAGCAGCATCAGCTGTGGAATTAAAGGAGCTGCTAAAGCCGAGGAATGAAATGACGTCTGCTGTTAATGTTGTGTCTCCTGTGGGTCGTATACAGTCACAGAAATAAAAATCTAAATCATATTCATCTCTAGTCCTGCTCTGGTTTTCCTTTGGTCAAATATTTTTAAGTATAAACAAGTGTGTTACATAAGCCATGTTTCCATCCAATTCGAATTTTGAGTGAATTTTTAAAATTTTCAAAAAGGAAAGAACGAATAAATGCGAATCAGACGTGTTTCCATCAGCTGGCTTGAAGCGAATCAGTTACGTCAGACTAGGAATGTGCCATATGGCAAAAAATTTATATCACAACATACATACAATATTACATTTATAGTATTACAACTAAAACTGTTTTTGACGCCGCCACCGCAGTTTGTCCTTCATGAGCCTTCAAAGACAAGATGGCGGTGCAAGATGACGGCTGCCATATAAACAGCTTTTTATAAGGTAAAAATAATAAAACAAGGTCTTTGTCTGCTATGATTAGACATGTTTTTTTTATTATTGTCATTAGTGATTATCTCAATTTTGGCTAAAAGAATTGACAAAACCCTACACACTGTTCCTTTAATAGCCAATTTCATTTGTTTTACCCATTTATATCATTAGTCTACATTATTACATTTAAAATCTAATTCCATTTCAAACAGAATAGCCTATTGTCAACATAATTATAGAGTGTAATTTATTTTCAATTTGAAATATCTTCAAACTAATGAAATATAAAGTTATTAGTGAAGAAAACCCGTCTGGATAACAGCAGACTGACTACTCGTAAAATATATGACAGGTCTGGACCACTCGTGAATTTTGTT